GATAAAAGTGTAGTCCAAGAAGCCAGCTTAAGTGGGAGAGAAGGAACCAGTGAGTCTATGATTGCTTTCAACAGTAAATGATAATCTATTGCTGTTAAGAAGTCAATGTATTACTGAATTTAAAACTGTCATTCAGATAGGGTGTGAGATAAGAAAAGCTGTCCTGCCTTTAGAGATTAATTGGACAGAACTATGTACAGATTACATGGTGCAATAGGCAGAATAAACAGTGTAAACTTAGAGTTGCTTAGTATGGGTAGGATACATGAAGTAAGTATGGATTTGTGGCCAAGGCTGGATGTAGAAATTCTTTTGTGTTGAAAAGATCTTGGCAAAGCCTGAAATGGAAGCATCGGATTGTGTGTGAGGGTGTGTATGTCTCGTCTGCTGTATTCTAACTAACAGGTTACAGAGTGATGCACTCCACAGTAGGATATTAAATTCACATTTGATGTTTGCTCTGACGGAAGGACATGTGAAGTGAACTGGGGATTCCTCTTGGTCTATTATCTTGATACAATGGGTAAGGAGGAAAAAAAACTATTGTGCATGCTGGATGAAGTGGACTTTTAATACCATGATTCTTAAATAGTCTTATTTCTGGGTATGCTGATGAGCTGGGGTAAGAAAAGGCAGAGTAATTGTCCAAAGGTACAAAATTTTCTGGGGGGAAATTTTCAGCCATATTTATAGAGGCCACTGAAGGAGAAAAGCAGTTTTGTGGGATTCACATCCTTGTGTGTGTTGATAGTCTTGTTAAAGTTATTAATGATTTGGAGATACATTCAAATTAGCAAAAATGAGAACGCCCCTCCCCCCACCCACCCACCCTGGGCATTTTATGTCAGGGCTCCTTGCTAGATTTTATTTTGTTGTTGGGTTTGGAAACTGTAGATTTACATTACTTAGATAGGCCAAGAGTTATATGTGCCCTGTGCTGTGAAAAAATTAACCATCTCTGCATTCACAAAGCCGTCTACGAGTAGAAAAATTTGCTTTCTTTCATTCGGAGTTAAAGAATTGTGCAATTTCTCATTATACTTTCATGTGGCCTTAGAAAACAACATCATTTTATATAATTTGGGAATAGAGTTGTTTTTTTGTACCAAATATTTTTTTCATACTAATCCTGAGTAGATTGTTAAAATGTCCATTTCAAACCCCGAGAATATTGTGTAAGTCTATAAAAATAGAATTATATGCTTCTTGGCTTACACACTTGTTAAGAACAGTTCATTTGTCTCCATGATAAAACTTGTTAGGGAACAAAGAAGCTGAGTTTTTTGTTTGGTTGATGTGTTAGTCCATATCTTTTTTTTTTTGGTCAAATCCAGTATTAGTACAGAATAACACTTGACTACTTTTATCATTCTACCTACAGCATTTGCATCACACTGATGTTCTCTTAAATGAGGCATTGCCTTCACTTTGAATTTGCTGCATTTATATAATAAAATCAAAGTGCGAACAGTGAGTTCATGAGGGAAATTTACTTGGGAGGGATAGCCAGTCAATTGGAAGGTGGCACCAAGATTCAAAATGGGTCCCCATTAGTTGAACTAGTATTCGGAAATTCAAAATTAGGTGAACTGGATTAAAGTTGGATGTAGTCAAAGCCGGGTTGAGACGTTTTTAGACCGTGAGCAGTGGAAGTTAATTGTCCTGAATTTGTGGCAGCTGTGAACAGTCGACCCTTGAACCACTTTGAGGTTAGGGGCACTGACCTTTCCCACAGAACTGCTCTCTGCATAAGCAGACCCCCAACCTCGGAGTTGACTCTTGAACAATGGGGGTTTGAACTGCTCCCATATAATTAGAGCTGCGCAGTTCAAACCTGAGTTGTTCAAGGGTCATCTCTAGTGACAAACCCAAACTGGGCAGATGACAGCTGGGCTTGAGACCTCATGCTGCCCGCTACTAGCCATGCCATCTTAGTCGTACGCCTCCAAGGCCTAATCTTTTGCATGCAATGAGGACAATAGACACATACATCTACCTCACAGGTTTCTGAGAGGATAAAATGACAATGTGATTCCAAGAGCTTTGCAAAGCGTAAAGGGTTGAACACAAATTTCTTTCGGTTTCCTTTACAAAAGAGGGGATATTCAGGAGGTGGAGACCAGAGTTCCCTGTCTATAGTGGAGATTGGAGTGTGTGTATATACCATAGGGGGCACAGCTACTGGAGTTATTAGTACTTCCGGGGAGAGTCAGGACCCTGGATTTTGGCTGGGGCTGTATCGCTGTCTTCATTGTGATTGGCCTTCAGAAGAATGTAAAGAGTGTGAGTTAGTGAGTGGAAGCACTTTATAAACTACAGAGCACTTTATAAATAAGACTTATAGAGAAAGGGCAGAGGAAGACGAGAGGGTATCCTCCACTGCCTGGCTTTTCCTGTCCTAAATCTTATTAAGCTGCCCCTGCTTTCCTTTTGGTATTTATACCAGGCAGGGTCCCCCAGCAGGTAACATATGGCACAATCCAACCGGGTGACTGAGGTGATGAGTTTTATACAGGGACCTTTAACAAGGGTGCGGGCCAGGTATAGGTAACCAGTGAGGGCTGGGGTAATAACCAGGGCCCCCCAAAAGCCGGGCAAAGGGAGGGAGTAGTTATAGGAACCTGGAGAGGGCCTCCCTTCTGGGGCTCAGGCTGGGACTGGGGCCTTTTGAAGGGGCATCTGTGTTGCCTTTGCAGGGAGGGAGCTGGGGGAATAAATGCCTCATCCTCCTTCATCTGCTCTTGGTTTCCTTCTGGTGCCTCCTGTGGACTAAATCCAAGCAGAAGACTGACCAGAGAGCTATTATGAAATCCTTGCTGGTCAGCCTTCTGGGGCACCAAGCAAGACAAGACAACGGAGAGAGAGGAACTCTGGGTGTGTCTGGGGCAACAGGAAATTCTCTTGCTTTGGAGCTGATCTTTGGATTCTTCTTTCTTTCCTATTAAGTCCTCCCCATTCACTCATTGGCCCCACTTTCCGCCTCTGTTTGGGAGTCTGCGTTAGTGGGATGCCCCGGGCTTTATGACCAGGTCCAAAGAGGTGCCAAGTGTAGGTTGCTTTTGCCTGACATGACTTAAGTGAAACACTAGCCAATGTAGTTTGTACTTCATGTCCTACTTTTTTGTCTTTATTTTTTTATTTTTGGGGGGATGAGTATACAAAAGCTTCTCAGAGAGCCAGAACAAAGAGGCCTTGTTGCCTAATTCTCTTTCCTTTTCTTCTCATATCATTAACCTCACACATTAAGATTTCTTCCTGTTTTATTGTGGAAAAAAACTGGCAGAGAGATTCTGATTTGATGACTGTGCCTATAGTTGGGGCTCTCAGAGTAAGTGGTTGGCTCTGCGATCGAGATAATACACAAAGAAGCAATCTGGTTTTTCTCCTACATACTTGGAATTGCTTGGAAAAGTAAAGGTAGTAGCTTTTTTCTATGGGTTGTTGATTACGTTAGTTGACAATTTCATAGCTTTATTTCTACTAGAGATGCTAGTTTTCAGATACTTTTTGCTTCCCCCCCCCCCAGTATTCATGATTAGGATCATAAAATAGTCATTTTAAACTCTTTGTGTTAAGCTTATTAAAATGGGTCGAAGGCATTCACACTGCAGTGTTAACTGTATATTTCAAGGTATTCTAGATCACTTCATTAAACGTCATGTGAAAAGGATACAGGAATTGGTGACTGCAGGACTACTGGGCTAGGAATCGTCCTTGATTATATAACTATGAGACTTCCGCGTTTACGAAGACATCTGCAGTCACTTAAGAGTGCTTCTATGAAAACTAGTACTTATTTGAATTTTTGTGATTGTTTATAAAGATAGTAATGAAATCCAACCACCAGAAAAACAAAATTAGGACAGATGTTGTATTCCTAGTTTTTAGTTCTTCTTTTCCACTTTTTTTTTTCTTTTAATGCCTTGCAGATAGGAAATGGCAGTAAGGACACTGATCATAAAGTGTTTTATTATCATATTTTTCCATATTTAATATCAAATTGGTACTTTTAGTTTTTTTCTACACTGTTAAGGAAAGACAGAGACATTTATTGTTTTGGTAATCTCAAGGAAATTTGAAAGTGAGTGAGAAATAATTCAGACATGAAGCGACATACGGGAAAAAAAACACATTTAGAAAAATGAAGTGTTTTAGATTTATAGTTTTAGATTCCCTGTAGAAGAAATATGTTGTCATTCAGTGAAATGATCTCAGCTTTCTGTCTTTCCTTCTTCCCACGGACATTTGTAGCTTTGTTAGGGATTCCCTTCCGGCTTATGGTACCAGAAAAGGAATGTGGAGGCCGGAAAACATGATACCGCATAGAACAAGCTCCAGTAACAGTAAATTTCTCTGTCATGTTATTTATCAAGAACGGGCAGAAGAAAGGAGAGAGTCACTATGGTTTTTCTGAAATAGGTGATTCCTTGGAAAAACTCAGCCACCCAAACCCCCTAGTCATCAATGCAGTTGCTGTCAGAAAAATCTTCATTCTTATCTGAATACTGTGCTCTGCATACCCCATTTAAAAATAAGAGGAAAACGTCTACAAATTTGCAGGCATTTTTTGCTTATCACTCTCTGAATAGCATTTGTATGAATGTGTTGTTGTTTCCAAATCTAAATCCTGGCCTCCTGGAAACATTTCAGATATTCTCAGGGGAAGAGAGCTTTATCAAGTATTTATTCAGAAGATGCTGTTTTCATTGTTTCTTAGAAGATACATGGTTACAAATCCCTATCAAAATTCATGCTGAGTGGCTTCCAAAGAGGTGACAGCTTTGTTTTTCTTTAAGCTCTGCTGCCTCTGAAATGGACTCTCATCCCTTTAATTTTGCCGAGTGTTCACTATAGGTGGCATTTCCACCTCTAGTGATGCTGCTGTCCTGCAATGCTCCTCTCAGCAGGCCACTGGGGAATGTCAAGTCCAAGCCACCAGTTTCTAGTTTAGTTGTGGGAAGGTGTAATGGTCTGACCAGCTGCTGTTGTCTATCTTTCAGGCACAGGAGAGAGCGGCAAGAGCACATTTATCAAGCAGATGAGAATCATCCACGGGTCGGGGTACTCCGATGAAGACAAAAGGGGCTTCACCAAGCTGGTGTATCAGAACATCTTCACGGCCATGCAGGCTATGATCAGAGCCATGGACACGCTCAAGATCCCCTACAAGTACGAGCACAACAAGGTAGGCGTGGCTCCTCATGAGAAGTGCTGGCAAAGCTGTCCACGGTGCACATGGCCTCTCCATGCATCCGGGAAGCATAGTGGGGTTTTGAAATGTACATTTTTCATCTCATCCTAAATGGGACTATTAATGGTTCAGTAAGTTGTTTATAAGTGGGGTTTTTTTCTTAAAGCTTTAAAGTCACATCTATAAAAAAATGAAGTTGTATTCTTATTGATAAATATATGAAGGTTTAAAATTTAGGGGCGCATGTTCCATTAAAGAGACAGTTTTTAAGTTCAAGACACATTGTCGAAAGTGAGGGAATTCAGAGGAGGCTATGGCCTTGCTTTACCCTTCCACTCTGTGATTCCTTGAAAAAAGAACGAAAACAGCTTAAGACCATTTTGTCCGGTTTAATTTTGGATTTCATGACTTCCTTTTAGTAGTACCACAGGCTTAATTTTATTTCAAAATAGCTTCATCAGTCACTTCCCATAACCTTTCAAACACGTTTCCCTACAATTGTGTTAAAGTCATGTAAACTTCTAAAATCACTTGAGAAAGGGTTAGGGTAAAAATCTGAATTTCCAATATCCAGCATCATCGCTTAATTGAAATAGAAAATCGAGGTTTCTATTTCAGGTGGAAACCAATGCTATGATTGCTCACACTTCAAATATTATAGATACATGATGCCAAACAAGACGGGTGCATGTGATGGTGGCTCCAGGTTTGAGTGACACTGTAGCTGCCCCCCCAGGAAGCTCATAGGCAAGGACTGGAGTTATACCAGGGAGTGACACCTGTGTAAAGGCCCCAATTTGAGGGAAGGACAATCTGTTTGGAATTTGTAGAAATGTCTCTGTAGTCTGTCTTCTTCCCTTCCATTAATCAGTACCTCCACTAATGGATGCAGTCTTTGTTCCTTAGGGCTTATAGGTGTTGATTTTACAGCAAGCTGATAAAATCTCACCTCTTGTTGACAAAACACTACATTTGCACCTACAGTTATTTTAGGGCTTTTAGTCAGAAGTTTCATCCTCTTAGTACTCTTGATAACCTACTCTCGAGGATATTTCCATATACCAGGATCGATAGGTAACAGCAAGAAATTGGCATGCCCAGTGTGACCCATAAGCTGAGATTTAACTCACAAAAATGAATCATAGGTAAAATAAAGCAACTTCGTGTACCTTCGTTTCTGTTGCCATCTAGAAGCAGCTAACTATACAAATAAAATCAGGCATTTCTGTTTCTTGGATGGTTCCTTGAAATGAACTGGCCATTTCTTATCTCACTGATACACTTAGTTTTCAGATGGCAACAAGAGAGGCTTTCCATGAATACCAGCGACCCTCCGCAAATAATCCTTCCTGCTTCTATCCTCAAGAGTGAAAAGATCTGCCAGGTTTCTGATCCAGGGAGTATGGTACCTGAATCAGATGGTGCAGCCTGGATATCTAAGATATTTAAAAGGATCATTTTTTGTTTTGTTTTGTTTTGTTTTTTTCCCCCAAGAAATTGCAGTGTAATGAGTTTCTGAAATAGGTGGCATACTGATTTTGTTATAGTTATGAGACAATTCTGTTGAAGAAAAAGCAACTTTTTAATACCCGTGACTTTCCCAAACTACAGTTGGTTGATAATATGGTGATCTCATGAATTCTGGCTGAGCTACCACATGTGTGGTATGATCGATAGGTGTTGCCAGTTTACACCTTATAATATAATACGGTCTTTGTTAATTATACCAAAAAACCATCTTTCTTGGATGCGCCAGAAGAACCCTGCAGGATCTTGCCTTGATATTAGATTTTTATATGAAGATTATTTATTATACAGTCACGTAGGTGTAGAAGATGGAGTGGAATTTATGCCTTAATCATATAACACATTGATGAATATTTAACAACGTGCATTATTTGAGCTCTTTATATGAGTTCTAGTTAAGTAGACTTTACTCTGTTGAATACCATTCAGTTAGAAATCAACATCAAAAAGGTATATTACTACAATTTTTCTAGGTAGCCTAATTATCTTGTGAAATCTTCCCACATCTCTTGGTTACTTAAAGTACTCCCTAAAATAGTGACATCGGTGTGTAGCGACTTTGAATTCTTCCATATGTTTAATCCCCGTGAATTCATGATGTAAATTACTTTCACATTTGTTCCATTTTCACAATGACATGCATATATCCTAACTGCATGACATTCCCCTTGCTTCATTCATTAACTTCCTGAGCTGTACCCACTCCTTGCATTTATTAATGCTTGTTAAGGAATTCTATCGTCTCCTTCCTGTTTCACCCAACTGCCTCTTCCTGGTAGACTCCTTCTCTACTCTCCTCCATTGTGCTCAGTAATTCCACCCTCCCTTAGCAGAACCCATAGTGCAGTATTTATAATTGTCTAGCTTATATTAATTATGATGATTTGGATATTGATCTCATTTCCTGTCTAGACTCTAAGCTCTTGACACTGTCGTGTCAGTTCCTACTTTGTGTTCTTCATTGTCCCTGGCATTGTATCTTGTACGTAGTAGAGGCTCAAAAAATTCTTGCTTTGTGAAGTGGTAAATGCTTTGTAAGCTTAAACAACTGAAAGTCTCCTCTTCTGCCTCCAAAGCTGTGGACACCTCAACAGCTTTTATTCAAATCAACAAATATCTGTCAAAATTGTTTTGTATGCATAAAGGAATAAATGCAATGTGCTGTCATGGATGCTAAGAAGTTTAATCAGGGCTACGCAGAAATTTACAATCCAGGAAGAGGTAAGAGAATAGCTGAGGGAGGGGCACATTGGGGAGGAGGAATGAAGTAAATGTTCAGAAAAAGAATGTGATGTAGGGTGTAAATTGATCAGTTTACTTTGAGCAGAGTTCTTCTAGAAGAGAACTGGAAAATAAGAACCAAAATGTGGTTTAGGATGTGCTTGTGAAAGGTTTTGAATCCAGGCTAAGAAGTCCGCATTTTATTTTCTTGTGTTTGTGATACTTATTTAATAGTAATATTTTATGGTTTGGTTAGAATTTTCTACAGAAGTTTTTTGTTACACTATACTTTATATTCTGTAAATAGTTTAAGGGATTTAGTATGCATTTTATTAGCAAATACTGGGAAGCAGCACATTGTGATGTATATTATTTTGTAACACTAAAGACATAAAATAAATAACCATTTAGTTTTTCAAAAAGCTTCTTTGCACTTGCTGCCACATTGACCATCATCTATGGCAGGGGTGTCAAACTAGCAGCCCGCCGGCCGCATGCGGCCCTCGAGGTAATTTTTTGTGGCCCACGATGCTCTGAAATAAAATGAAAATAGAAAACATTGTTATGAAGAAAATAGCGCTTAGGGGAGATCGAGGCAATACCGTACACACAATGCCCTCGTTAACCCTTTAACTACTGAAGACGAGTATACACATGGCCCAGTGCCTTTCCTGGGGACCCGGGGGCATGTATAAACGTGCTGACTCAGTTCCGGCGACGTTTGGAAGCGATATGTCTGCCACTCTCGGTGTCACGTAATGTAAACAGATCCCAATAGCGAAAAGGTTAAAAAAGAGCATTCGGTTAAAAAAGAATAATTTTAGTTTTATAAATACATTAAATAAAATAAATGTTTAAATAAAAGCAGTTATATAGTGTTTTAATTATCCTATCCATATTCCTGAATCCTCACTTCAGAATATAAATTTAACAAAATTTGTAAATGTGATGTGGCCCGCGTGAATCTTGCCTATTGCACCAAATGGCCCATGTTTTAATTGAGTTTGACACCCCTGATCTATGGTAATAGCATAAATAAAAACAAACACTTTCCTGTATTGTCCAACCTGTCTGCAGTGGCTTCTGAGTTCATATATTTTATAAGGCAGAGCGTAACTTACAAATGATGGAGACAGTTCTTAACAGGGAAACTGCTCAGTTTTGTTTGCTGTGAAATTGGTTCTAGCTATGGAAGGCCACACCATAATATTGGAATTTTTTTGCTCCTGCCTAAGTGGTACTATACTGGAGCAAGAGTCCCTCCGGTTAGCTGGGGGGCTGGCGCAGTGGTCTGGGGGAGTCCAGGCCACAATCTCGGCTCCACATGGTGGTGTGGTATCACATGACTTTTCACAGACCTTGCTCAGCCTTCCAGGGATCACTGGTTCAGGAGTGGCTTGTCATAAATTCTAAAATTTTACCAAAATAAAGATTAATTCTTCCCTAATTGTGTATCTGTTATCCTGTTCTTGAACTTTCTTTGACAAACAAGTTATGTTTATAGGTGAGCTGCTTGGACCCAGCCCAAGTAAGAGAACATATTTGAGGACTTCCAAATATACTGTGAGCTAGGGTTTGTTTATTCCTAAATGATTACTTTGCCATTTCCCTAAACACAATGACTGATAGCTGATGTTAAAGGGATTAAATATTTGTTGCTTAATCAAATCAAAAGATACATTTAAGGCTTCTCTAGGTGTAAGACATCTGACTGTGTGAGATTATTGCATCATTTATTTTTCAAAAGGGAGAATGTTCATCACAATTATTTTTTGGTTTTCTACTGTATATAGACATGCTTCTCTGATTATTCTTTGCTTTGGTGCTGAAATCAGCTTTTAATAAAAAGGCAGAGATGAACAGTTTCTGTGCCAACATGGCTAAGAACTGTCTCGAAGATTTGCTTGGAGAAGTAGATCACAAGGTTGTGACCCCTGAGTTTATGACTTGCTGTCTATAACCTGGCATTGGCATTCTTCTTGCATTGCCTGCTAGTACTTCACTTGCATGTGCCTCATTTTCTTAGTCAGACTGCAAATTACCTTCCCAGTAAGCAAGCTTCTGGCTTTATCATTCCTTGTCTCCTCTACAACATGCCACAAACACTGTAGGAGCTGTTGTTCATTGAGCGGATTGCTCCCGATACAGATCCTGGTGTCCCTTTATTGTTGCCGTATAATTTCTGTGAACTGTGAAATCAAGGCATCCTTATGGCAATTTCAAAGTATTGACAGGCCTCAGCTCCC